TGTCACATGTGAGTAAAACCAAGGTGGTTCCAGGCCCACTCCCATCACCACTCCCTGGATCCTTCCTATCATCTCTTGCTGGGTATGCTCAGAATTTTTCTTCCTACTTTGCTACTACAAATTCAACCAATTCAATTCACATTACATTGTTAAAAAAATAAAAGTTTCTATCTATTGAATCTTTTTTTTTAAAGAAAGGACTTTTATTTATTAGTAAGTTGGAACAGCACAGGGTATGCAACAAATCATAATCGCCACTATAGGAGTCACATGACTAAGTTCCAATTCCTTAAAAGAGCAAATATATTGAGACTCATATCTTCTTCTTTGTCTTTCTTGTCTTTTGCGTCACTCTCTTTCTGCTTGGATTTGGCATTGTTCTGCATCGCTTTGGCAAATGCTTCCACATCACCCTTGTTGGCGACCTCTACCACCTCTGCAGGCAGTCCATACTGCCTCATGAGGGGCCCCAGAAGCCAGGACTGTACTGAACATGCCCAGGGCCTGCTGGAGCTGAGGAGAGGTCGGCGTGTTCTGGACAGCAACTCCCCAGAGGGCAGGTAGGGCAGCGGGCGCTCCTGGACATCTGCAGTGGCCAGGATGGGCACCACGATCTCTATTGAAGCTTTTGATACTTGACAACCCATTAGACAGGGCAATACTGCCCCATTTTGGGTATCGTAAGAGGTTCATTGCAGCCACAAGTTGAGAGATCTGGGAACCCAATATTTATCTATTTCAAAACATTAAGCTGTGTGTAGAAACTAGGAAGACATCCTGGGAGAAGAGTACAGCATTCTCTGCATGTTTTCTGGGTTTCCTCATTCCAAAAGTAGACCCATAGGGCCCTTACTTACTGAAATAAAAATAATAAGAATATCCCCTGCCTGGAGAAGGCTGCCAGTGGTATCTGGATGGAAGAGGAGGAGAACTCTAGGTGGCCCACGTGCATCCCAGAGGATTCTGGCTGCCAGCTTTGACCCTGATGCAGGAAAAGGATCAGACGTTAAGCCAGGTGAGGGACACAGAACACAGAAACATGAGTGGGCCTGGATGACTGTTTGCTTCCCACAGTGTGGGTGTTGTAGGGGAGAATGCTATAGTTGTATAGGGGTGTTGGCTTGGAGTTGGGCTCTCAAGGGGACCTTGCGCAATGGTGCCCTCTCCCTTCACCTTGGCCAACTTGCAGTTTTTGTCTGGGCTGCCTCCCAGGAGAATATAGATAATAGTCTGTGTTTGCCACCCCAGGCAAAAAAGCACTAAAGATCCTCTTAAAGATGTAGTTTCTCAGCCTGGTAGGGTGGCCATGTCTGTAATCCCAGCCCTCTGGGAGGTTGAGGCAGGAGGAGCAACTGAGTGACTGAGAAATACTTTGTCTCAAAATAAAAAAAATTAGAAAGATCATTGCAAAGGTTCCGTGTTCAACCTCCAGTTCTGAGAAAGAAAACAGTTCATTTTTCTTTTTGCATGACTTTCCAACTCCTAAAAACCAAACCCTTCATTTCTGAATAATTTGGGAATGAGTCACCAATTTAGGAAAAATGCTTAAACATTATGTATGTGACGATTTGTGGCAAAGTCCAGGATGGATGAACATGTGAGCCAGATGGGCAGGCCACCGTGTAGAGCTCCCTCAGAGCAATGGTGTTGTTCAGCATTTCCTCTACTCAACCATAGGACACCAGGCAAGTTATTTCTGTTCAAAATCAGAAATTCCTACCCTACGAATATGAGTATGCCATAGCATTCTAACTTATTTGGATTTAGTTTTCCAACAGTTTAATTTTTTTGGGGAAGGGGGCTGAGACAGGGTCTCTCCATGTAGTTCAGGCTGGCTTTGATCTCACTATATACCCCACTCTGGACTCAGACTTGAGGGAGGTGATCCTTCTGCCTCAGTCTCTTGAGTGCTGGGATTATAGGCACGTAGGCATGCACCACCATGCCTCGTACCAACAATTTAACTTTTAAATAAATGTCATCAATAGATAGTATTAGTCATTCACACTTAAAACATATACCCATAATGTCAAATTACATTTAAAGATTTTTTTTCTGGTTGCTCAAACTCCTTTTACTTTTCGGTCATTTGTTTTCTTTTTAGTGCTTTCAAAAAAAAAAAAAAAATCTTACAAGTGAGATATTTCCTCAGGAGCCAAATGAAAGATTTTATATTTAGATAATATAATGAAATATACTCTGTGCCTTATTGAGTTTCTGAATTTTAGCTGAAGGAGACTCAGACTTCAGGAGGTCAGCCTACTGCTCTTCGGGTGGAAGTACTGCCTGTCATTGTGTTGCAAAAATATCATCAAAGATAGGCTGGCGCCTGGGAGGTGTGCTTTAAAATGTCCATCGCAAGCCATTATTTCACCAGCCGGCACTTTGCAGTACAGTATCTCATGGGGAGAACTGAGTAGCAGGCCACCATTTAAACAACAATGATTCCTGATGTTTCGTGTTCCTTATGCAGTAAAAACTAGTCCAGCGTGCCATTCCACCTGGCTCCAGGCATGGCAGGGAGCCCTGGCTTCCTTAGGACTGTGGGCGAGATATTAGCCTGGGGCCAGGGAGATAGCTCAGTGGAATAAGCGCTTCCCTGGCAAGTGCAAGGGCCTGGGTTCAATCCCCGGTTCCACAAAAAAAAAAAAAAAAAAAAAAAGATACTAGCCTCTCTGAGCTCCCCTTGTAAAATGGTAGCTTTTTTTTTAATTTTTTATTTATAGTTATTAGGTATAATCTTGAAGCTGTAAGGAAGACTTATTTGAAAGTATACTGTATAACTGGGCATGGTGGTGCATACTAGCAGTCCTAGCACTCAGGAGCTGAGGCAAGAGGATTGGTACCAGTGTGAGGCCAGCCTGGATGGTATAGTGAGTTCAAAGCCAGCCTGAGTTACATAGTGAGGCTCTGTCTCAGAAAACCAAAAAACCAAAGCAAAATAAAAGTAGACTGTATAGTAAAACATGATATAAAATATTTAACAAGCAATCTCTTTCTCTTATCTCTTAATAGCCTTCTTCACATATGGCTGCTTTGAAGAGTTAGTCCTGGAACCCAAGGTGATTTCTGAGATGAGCAAGTATTCATTACACAGCATGTGCCATACAATGTTGGGCAATGCCTTGTGTGTGTCCTATGTGGGCAGTGTTTCCCAACAGAAGCTTGTGAGCCAGACGGACCTGGGTGGGGCTGCATTCTAATTCTGCTACTGTATCTGCCATCTCAGAAACATGGCCTCAGAGAAACCCAAAATATAAATACCTTAAAAGAGCATAGTAGAGGAGAGATGGTACAAAACTGGGAGACAGACTTATTGGGGATGGGTAGGGATCTGGAGGAGTAGGGGAGGGAGAAGAGGGTAAAAATAATTAGCATGTCAGTATGCTCTCTCTCTCTCTCTCTCTCTCTCTCTCTCTCT